TCAAGGGCAGGTGCTTAAGGCTGATTAGTCGCCCTGATTGATTGCAGGTCCACAATAAAATATATATACCTATTTCGATCCATCTCACTATCACTGCTGTGCCCTCCGATCCTACTGTTCCCACCACTCACCCATACTCAGCATGAAGCCCACGCGCCAGTGATTTACACGGCATGGAGAAAACACGGATTGCTAAGGTTTGAACCTGTATTCAGCGCCACAAACATCTCACTCACTGACCATGTTGCTTCAGGTTGACAATGTGACCTTGGCTCGCCGCGGAGAGCAGGTCGATGGCACTCTCCATCTAACCCCTCACCACCTCATCTTTTCGCACACCCCACCAATCTCCCCAGAAGACCAGATAAAGGGCGTGACAACAAGGCCCAGGGAGTTGTGGATTACATACCCTATCATCGCTTTCTGCACCCTACGGCCAGCTCCCGCCGCCTCCCGCCAGCTCTCTTCCATCCGCCTCCGATGCCGAGACTTCACATTCGTCTGTTTCTACTTTGTAAATGAGCACAAAGCACGAGATGTGTTTGAAAGTATCAAGCAGTGGACATGCAAGTCCGGTCGTATCGATAAGCTTTACGCCTTTAGCTATCAGCCTCCCCCGCCAGAAAAGGAGTTTAATGGGTGGGAGCTGTATGACCCGCGCAAGGAATGGGCACGCCAGGGCTGCTTGGACGAAGGAAAGGCATGGCGTCTTTCAGAGATCAACGTGAACTATGAGGTATGTTCGCGCAAACTAGTTCAAATGTACTCTACTGACCCATCTTAGTTCTCCCCGACCTATCCTGCCCTCATCCCTGTACCTTGTTCCATCTCCGACAATACACTTAATTACGCAGGGCGCTATCGATCTCGAGCAAGAATCCCTGCTCTCACATACTTTCATCCTGTCAATAATTGCACCATCAGCAGAAGCTCACAGCCGCTGGTCGGTGTCCGCCAGAACCGAAGCATTCAAGATGAAAAGCTTCTGTCAGCTATCTTCTTAACTTCTCGCTCTGAGCGGCCGTTGGCGAGTTACTCAGCTACAGAAAAAGAAACAGATTCTAGCAGCTCTGAGACGAACCAGGTGATGGTCCCCGAGTTGAACAATGCCGAGGAACTCGAAGATGAATTATTAGCCGCTACAAGTGGCGATTCTGAAGAGAATCTTTCGATATATGGCGCCCAGCAGTCGAACCTGATCGTGGATGCACGCCCTACCGTGAATGCATTTGCCATGCAGGCTGTTGGACTTGGGTCAGAGAACATGGACAACTACAAATTCGCTACCAAGGCATATCTTGGTATTGACAATATCCATGTCATGCGAGACTCGCTGAACAAGGTGATCGATGCTTTGAAGGAATCAGATGTTACTCCATTGGGCCCAAATCGTGACCAGCTAGCGCGCAGCGGCTGGTTGAAGCACATTGGCGGGATCTTGGAGGGAGCCAGACTGATCACTCGTCAAGTTGGTCTCACTCATTCTCATGTTTTGATCCACTGCTCTGATGGCTGGGACCGCACGAGTCAACTCAGTGCGCTGAGTCAGATATGTTTGGATCCCTACTTTCGGACGCTGGAGGGCTTCATGGTGCTGGTAGAGAAAGACTGGCTTTCATTTGGACACATGTTCCGACACCGGGCTGGTCATTTGAACAGCGAGAAATGGTTCCAGATCGAAAATGAACGCATCGGCGGAGATCCCAACCGTGCCTTTGGTGACGGTGGCGGTGCAGGGAAGGCTATTGAAAATGCATTCCTTAGTGCCAAAGGATTCTTTGGTCGGGACAACAATAGCCGTGACTCTTTGCCGGACTCGGATGGAGAGCTTCAAAACTATGACTCTGACACTCCTCTCAAAAAGCCCACTACACCGCGCTCTGGGGTGTCCGAGAAGGAGATGACCAAACCAAAAGAGACGAGCCCTGTATTCCATCAATTCTTGGACGCAACATACCAGCTACTTCACCAGCATCCGACACGATTTGAGTTTAATGAGCGTTTCCTGCGACGACTTCTCTATCATCTCTACTCCTGCCAATTTGGTACATTCTTGTTCAACAATGAGAAAGAACGCGTGGACTGCAAGGCCAGTGAACGAACTCGTAGCGTGTGGGATTACTTCCTCGCCCGCCGGGAACAGTTCACGAACCATCAGTATGACCCTCTCATCGATGACCATCAGCGCGGCAAGGAGCGACTTATCTTTCCCCGGGTCAGTGAAACACGGTGGTGGAATGAGGTATTCGGTCGAACAGATGCGGAGATGAACGGGCCCCGTTCCTCAGCGGCCCCTAGTGACATCCCGGAAAGTACGGTGTTGACCGGTATTGAAACGGCAAGGCCAGACAGTGCTATTAAAACGACTGATGTATCGGGGATGACAGCTGCTGTGACGTCGGGCGTATCCAAGCTTGCATTCCCAACGGAGCGCGCCGACAAACCGACCGAGTTAGAAGTAGAGATGCAATGAACCGAGGTAATCAAAGGAATCGTTTATGGTGTTGAAACGTTTACAACTTTTATGTTATGCAGCCGCGTTCAGACCACTAATAAAGTGATTCATCCAATGATGCCGGAGTACTCTGTAGTTCGATGTAATAGTTAACATAAGCATATTACTGCCTTACTGCCTTATCAGTGCCTAAAAGATAAGGTGGCCATATTAGGCCCAAAAGGGAAAGGCGCCGGCAAGCGAGGGTTGAGCCCTGGCCCAAACGGGCAAGCAGCCCTAGTCCCGAAAAATCCCCACTAAATAATGCACTCTCAGAATTGAAGTCTCTCGACCACGATCCCCTCCGTCGACAACCCCCGATTCCACCACACAAAATGGCCGCTGTTCAGGGTGCTATCTCCAAGCGCAGAAAGTTCGTCGCCGACGGTGTCTTCTATGCCGAGCTGAACGAGTTCTTCCAGCGCGAGCTGGCCGAGGAGGGCTACTCCGGTGTGGAAGTCCGTGTGACTCCCACTGTCACCGACATCAGTACGTCAAATCCGAAAACCAATCTCTCCTGTTTGATCGCTTGAAAATTACCGGTGAAATTGCTGGAAAAAGAGGAGGAAGAGAACGATTTACGATCGCGATGGGATCTGCGGAATTCGAATGGGGATCTTGATGCTAACGGGCTTGTCCAGTTGTCCGTGCCACCCACACCCAGGAGGTTCTCGGTGAGCAGGGTCGCCGCATCCGCGAGCTCACCTCCCTCATCCAGAAGCGCTTCAAGTTCCCCGAGAACTCCGTCTCCCTCTACGCCGCCAAGGTCCAGAACCGTGGTCTCTCCGCTGTCGCTCAGTGCGAGTCCCTCCGCTACAAGCTCCTGAACGGTCTTGCCGTTCGTCGTGCCTGCTACGGTGTCCTCCGTTTCATTATGGAGTCCGGTGCCAAGGGTTGCGAGGTTGTTGTGTCCGGAAAGCTCCGTGCCGCCCGTGCCAAGTCCATGAAGTTCACTGTACGTCTATACTGGGGAAATCGCGACCGACGAATCGATCGAATCGATCGCAAACTAGTTTTGGAAGAATATTATGGCTAACGCAAGTAACAGGACGGTTTCATGATCCACTCCGGTCAGCCCGCCAAGGAGTTCATTGACTCTGCCACTCGTCACGTTCTCCTCCGCCAGGGTGTCCTCGGTATCAAGGTTAAGATCATGCGCGGCTCCGACCCCGAGGGCAAGGCCGGTCCCCAGAAGACTCTCCCCGACTCGGTCACCATTATCGAGCCCAAGGAGGAGCAGCCCGTTCTCCAGCCCATGAGCCAGGATTACGGTGCCAAGGCTATTGCCGCTCAGCAAGCCGCTGAGCAGCAGCGTCTTGCCGAGCAGCAGGCCGCTGAGGCTGAGGGTGGTGCGGAGACTTTCGCCCAGGAGTAAATGTTTTTATCTACATTAGGCCCGGCTCTTCCTTTTTCTTCCATCTGTCCTAACCTAACCTGATACTCTACCTCACGCAATCAAAATTACATGACCTTCAAAGCCTTTTATTCGCTATTCTATAATGTATTGGCCAATACGGTGGAGGTCAATTGGAAGGTGTTCGAGGTCTGGTACATATTGGCAAGAAAAGGTCTTTCTTGCCATTGAATATCAGATATCATATGCTAGAATCAAAGCCTCGATATCTGTTCTCTGTTCCCGTGTGCGTTCCTCGATTACCAAGTGCCTGCGTCCTACTATCTATGTGTAGTATGAGGAGACATCGATCTTTTGTCCGAGTTCGGATCTTTAGCATTGCTTTAGTTCAGATGTGACTGGGGGAATCTTGAACTAGGATGTATATCCCCGAGGATCCTTATCTATAGAGATTTTCATCTCGCCAGGGGAATCATTACACTATCTTCATCTTTGCCCCCCGGTCACTTCTCTTAGCTCGACAAGCAGTTCGCCTGCATCGTCGACCTCGTAGTCCGTCTGCAAACCCGCGGTCATATAGGGATCTTCGGCTTCCCTCGGTCACTTCTGTCAGTGAATCCTGAAATTATTTGTAATTTTATAGACCTGTCAATGGTTTCATTGGCAGTATTCACATATTACTGTCTGGGATTACATAGGCCTCTCACTGGGCAAGGGAAGCTCCAGGTAATACTGTACCTGACAGGGAATCGCACCATCAACTTTTTGTATCTTTCACCCTCAAGATAGGAAATATTGCGTGCATATTGGTCTTTTAGTGAACCACCGCTAGAAGCGGTCTCAAACTAGAATCCTTATGGATACCGCTGTATATATCTCTACACATAGGCTCGCGAGACGACTTATACATTCATGGATGAAAGAATTCAATGCTCCGTTCAGTGTCGCTATTATTATTTCGTAACAAAATATCATCCAAGAAATTTCCAGTACATATGCATATGCAAAAACAATCAAACAAGATGGAGTACATGTCCTAATCAAGTTGAATCATAAAACAAATCGAATCAGGTTATCCAAAATTCAAAAAAAAAAGGCAAGAAAAGGAATGAGTACTGTCAACGCTCACGATATGAGGCGGCGGCAAGCCGACTAAACAGCAGCTCGGGATGCTCCAAGACCTCCGAGTGCCGACGATGCAGCTCCTCGAGCTGAGCTAGGGGATTCTATAGACCGCCACAATAAGTACGTTGCGCCGAGGAGAGAAGAGAACACATCAACCGTGACACCCACCCATTCCTCCTGGCTAGGCACGCCCTCCGCAACAGGAAGGGTGGCCGTACCGGAGGCCTCATCCCCGTAGCTGATGCGGTGGATTGGGGCCGGCGTTACGGGCAGACTGGGGCGCTCGTCTTCTGTTGGAAAGTCGGTAATCTTGGTGCTGGGGCGGGAGCCTGGAGTCGGGGGTGATTTATCGGGACTGTTGGAGTTGGCTCCTGGGCTGGTCACTTGTGACTTTGTGCGCTTTGCTTGGATTGTCTCAATGTAGCGTTGGATCTCTGGGTCCTCATCCCAGGCGTTAGAGCGGCTGTATGTTTGCCATGATTCGGCACTAGGTTCGAACGGTACCCGAGTGTAGGAAGATGAGGGACCGGGAGGGGCTGGCTCGCTTGGGAGCGAATGCTGCTCTGGTTCCTTAGGTACCACAGGGCTTTCCACTAACTCCACAGGCGCCTCGGCGAAGACGCGGGTGGGTTTCGGGGCATGGATCTCCCAGGGGAAGACCGTGGTGGGTTTGGGATCCGGCTTGGGTGGAACCTGATACCACATGTTTTTCGGTGCCTCCGGATAGGACGACGGGGGTTGGAATAGATGCGTGTCTTCGGACATATCGTAGGTTTTCTGTTGTAAACTGAGACCTTCGGGTTTTGTGTTGACCGGTGGTGGCTCGCTATGGGATATTAGCACTGTAGATTTCATCGAGGGATATGCTCTTACCGCGACGGATCCCACTCGGATTTTGGCGCCTCAAAGGTCGAAACCTCTGGGACCGGAGATGGGGGTGATTGATACTCGATAATCGGAGAAATTGGCGCTAGCGGCCGTGGTTGATGAATATGGCCATCGGGGTAGTGTATCTGTGGCTGTGTCTGTACCTGCGACTGCGACTGCGACTGTGTCTGTATCTCTGTCTGTTCCTGCGTGTGTATCTGTGCCTCGTATGTTTCGTGTCTCACTTGAGGCGCAAAAGTGATTGGCGCAGAAGGCAATGGTGGGATAAAGGTTGAGACATGCTCCTCTCCGCGAACATACTGCGGTACCATGCTTAATACAGGCACGGCAGCATGGCGTACATGAGTGGGAGCAGAGTGTTCGTGGTGCGGTTCTGAATGGCCGTGCTCGACTGGCAGTGCTTGGTGTGATTCCTCGTGAAAGCTTGCGGGTACTTCAACATGGTAGGGCTGCCGTTCAGACATAGGCTGTGTTTCATAATGAGGGGTGTTTTCATAACGGGTGGTGCTGTCATAGCGAGGGACGTGGCCATAATTCAGGGCAGGGACTTGTGCGCCTTGAGCCAACACCGTTTTTTCAATATCAACTGGCGCGCTCGGTACCTAGAAATGTCAGTCCACATCTTCATGATCTTGCATATCACTTACAATTGTCGGACGATAATGTCTGTCATAGACAGACCACCACCGGCCTAAAAGCTGATTGTAAGGAGACTCCAGCGGGACAATCTGCCTCGGCATATTCCACGGCTTCTGAGCACCGATGAAATGAATAAGACTGATGGTACTCTGGAAATGCTTGTACGCAGGAATGTACTGGTAATTAGCACTTGGCGTGCAATTATACGTGAAGCTTAGCCTATGCCAGTTCCGGAAATGCATGTTCAGCAGACCCTGGTCGGCGCCATCGAAGCTGATACCTCGTTGGGCGAGTGCTTTTAGCGCATAATAGTCCTGTAGATTAGGTCGGAGAACCATCATTCCACTATTAAAGCAATCTGGCCAACCGACGTCAGGCGCGGCAGCAAAGTCTGCTTCCAGTGATAACAGCTCGTCGGGTGCTCGCAGAGCTACGACATCACAATCAATGTATACGACCCGCTGATATTGCGTCAGGCGCCAGAGCTCGATTTTGGTGAATGTGGCAATCAGGTCTGGGCGGTCCATGAGCCAGAGGTTCGCCGGCGTGTCGTTTACCATTGAGCTCACTGGGATCAACTCGTCGTAGACGGTCTAGTTTGTAAGACAAAGGAATAGTTTGGGGAATGTTGTACGCACCCTTAGCTCGTCGATGGTGCTCGATTGTAGTCTGTCTGGCGTAAAGAGCGCCACTAATTTCGCTTTTGTGCCATTGTCGCGTAGGGAATGGGCAAGGACCATAGCACCTATACAATTTTAGAATATTTCACATTCCAGATGAATGAAAGAGCATACCAGGAAGGTAATTGTCACTCAACAGAAGCTGTCTCATCGTCAGTTTACGCCATAAGCATAGGAAGGGGGGGGGAAATACCGTGCAGTAAACTGCTCCATTGAAATCCATCACGTCACAGTTCCAATAGCAAAACAATGAGTCCGAAGGATGTCGGAGAGAAGAAAAGCCCCCACAAGAAGAAAAGCTGGGCTATATTTAACCTGTCAATTGCCAATGACAGTTCAGGCCGGTAGAAGCGCGATACACCGACTGTGGTACCTGGACCGGACGGAGATTCGAGGGAGGACGAAAACAGGAGAAATTTTTTTTTTTTCACTGCATGTTGTGTAAGGTTGAATGAGAGAGTCGTAAGATTCTTAAAAGCAAAGCAAAGTAATGGAAAGCAAAGGCCGAGATGTAAGGCGAAATTAAGGTCAAAGCTCCCGAGGGGAAAGTGGAGTGGCCGGGTAAATCATCGATTCCCGTTTATATTTTCTCTCTTCTCTTTCTATATTCTTGTTCTCTTGTTTTCATCTGGTTTTATTTCTGAATATAGATAAATTGAACCTATTCAAGTCTAAATGGGGTGAAATATCACTCTCCACCCCCCTAACCGCTTTAAATCGGGTTGCCCCCCGCAATACGATAAAATTGAATATCCCCATTATCGTGAAAAAGTGACCTGGGCACCAGGGTAGGAGTCCCCAATGACCGTCCCAATATCCCCCTTTTCACCTTGAGCAGCCCATTCAACAGTATTGATCAAAGCTGCGCCGCTCTCACGTTCAAGGGGAGTCCAATGTCCAGTATGAGGAAGTAGCACGATCTGGGACCCCTGCACCAAGTAATCACCCATCCCATCAAGGCAGATCCTCGGGTCAAGAGCAATATCATCCTTGCCCCAAAAAATGGTCGTGCTAGCTTTGAGAGCCCCCGGAGGACCTTCATCAAACAGCCCAGCTCCGCTGCTCGCCATTCGCTTTTTGGATGCAATGCTATGCAAGCTAGCAACAGTCTCAATAGACTTAACCCAACGTGCCGTCGCCGCCCGATCACGGTAATAAGCCGCCATATGCAAGACATGTGCTAACGCGCGCTCGCCGAGACTAGCGGGATATGCATCGCCGTTGGGAGTTTTAGTATCCGACTCTGCGATGGACGGACCCATGGTGCTAGCCATGCTGTCAGCCACATCGATGTGGGTATGTTCGTCCTTGTTGTACGAGGTGACGTGAGTACTTTTCAACAGTGACCAGTTGCCTCCGGTCAGGAGGTAGTAGACCATTGGCGTGGGTAGCTGCATAGCAAAGATATAGCCGGATAGCACAAGCTGGCGGGCGAGAGGGGTGATAGTTCTGAGTGCTTGCATCAGTGGGCCGCGGGCGTGCAGTGGTGAACGCCAGGCGTTACCGAGCATCTTATTGGCCGAGAAGAGCAGACGGCGGATATTGGATTCAACCAATTTCATCTGAATCGTTAGTTGAGGTAGGGTATTGATCGGTGTGCTGACATACTGATGGTCCGTTGGACAGGATGAACCGATGGGCCAGGGACGGAGCTTCGGCAGCGAGGCGCATGGACAAGACACAACCCCAGTCATGGGCGACAATTATGGTCCTCTTCTTGTTGCTTTCGTTGTCCGAGTCCACGCCATACTGGGTCCGCAGGGTGACGATCAACTCTGTCAATTTTTCCAAGACATTTGTTGCATTGTATTCTTCCAGGCTCTCCGTTCCTCCATACCCGGGAAGGTCAATCGCAACGAGCGAAACAGCCCCTTGAAGAGCAGGGTTTGTGATAATGCGTCGCCAGATCGCCCAGCTATCGGGGAACCCGTGGATGAAGATGACCAATGGCTTATCGGAATTGATGGTTTCCGGTGTGTTCGGGACATCGTTACTAACAAAGTGGAACTTGAATCCGCTCTGCAAGGTTAGAATGTGGTGAGAGAGACCATCGAAGACTTTGGATAAATCCCACAGGCGATCGCGAGCTAGAAGGGTCAGCAAAGAACTTTCATGATGGGGAATAATAGCTCACCGAGCTGTAAGTCCAGTTTCTCGTTTTCAGTGGGGCGTTTGAAGTATGTGCCTTTCGCTATGGCGATGAGGCCGTAAAGAATAATTGTAAAGAAGCCGTACGCAAAGACGGCCGTGCCAATCAGGGCACGGGATAGAGATTTGCCCATATTAGAAACTTGGAATCATGCGTTGAAGGAGCAAGAGTCTCACCTCGCGATCTAAGACAAACGGCCTCGGGGGAACTTGCCCAGGTGGGCCGTTCACGGGTAGCGTCATACCTGAGTCAGCGATATAAAAGCCTACTGACCGCGGGTACCTACATGTTGGTATGTAGGTACAGGGTACTTCGTACTTTGTACATATATCTAGATTAGGATACAAATTCAGGAATGCAATCTTATTATACTATAAATTGTAGACAGTTTACAGCTTTTCTCAATCTATTGCATACCAAACGCCGCCTCCACATGCACAAATATTATTGGTAGAAAACAGTCCAAGGGAAAGGGTATTAACAGGGGTCCAAAAACAAAAAGCCATCATCTCGTCGAGGGAATATATACAGATCAAAGAACAAATCCTAGTTGCTCACGGTTGTCGTCTACCAAGCGGCCATACCTGGAAAGGAAGTTAGCAAAATTCTCTTACAGAATGACGAGGTACTTACTCTAGCAGTAACCGGAAGAACCAAACCTCCAGATCTTCATTTCGTAGGGTCTGCTGTGCCCAGCGCTGGCCCTGGTTGGCGATTTGAAGAGCGGCCTTTTTGCCCTCTTCTTCTGAGGTAAAGTATCGCATGCTCTCAACGTACTCGTTGCCTTTCAAGCTGAGAGGGACGTAATGTACCCAGGGCTTCAGCCACTCGTCGTGCCACTCACGGAAGATAGCGATCTTATAGACAAAGCTGTTGCTATGCAGGAAAGCGTGGAATCGCCCGCTAAAAGCGTTGCCGTCGATGTCGACCAGGAACTTGTGCGCCCACGCATCTTGTTGCCCAGTTTGTTGGAACACTCCAAAGTATTCAGTCTGCGCATTGCAGTCGTCCGGGTCGCACTGGCCGATAAGTGTGAACTTGACATCGAAGGAATCACGGTAGGCGTCCCGATTTGTGTCCTGTGAAACCCAGCCATCGCCCTGGCGAGCAAGAACTTTGGTGGTGCCTAAGGCGTTGACATTGTCGACAAATTGCTGCCGATGTTGTCGGCGCCAGCCACCCGCGCGCGAAAATCCACCAGTTGTGGAGCCACGCCAGTACATCCGATCGGACTTGGCTTCCCACGCATAATCTCTTTTAGGATCGTAGGGGACTTTGTCGGCCCAGTACCAGGGACTCGGGTAAATAATATCCTGGAAGCTGGAGATTTTGCTCTGCGAGAAGATAGGGAACAGGTCGTGAACGACATCAAAGGCGTTAGGTCGGTCAAAGAATCCATATGTATAGCGGAGAGAGGGGGTGTTGCAGATGTCAGAGGCCGCCGTGGTGTTGTAGATGAAGCCGAGTTCGCCATACGCATAAGGATCAACGTCGTCGGGGGCATTTTCGTCGAGTGAGCGCGCTGGGCTGTCAACCGGACAAGAGACTCGGGAGTTTGTCCAGGTCGGTTGGTGTGCGAAGCGGTTGAAACGAGTGGTGCGCACCTCGTCGATGCGGTCGCCTTTGTTTAGGTCTGAAGCACGTGGGGACCACGCATTGGTCGGGGTTTTCTTGAAAGCTGCTGGGAGGATGAAGTCCTTGGCTGTCTGCACCAAGCGTTGGAGGTCTTCGTTAGGGAGGATCACGCGCGGCTCGTCGTGAGTGTTGAACACCAGGTCCATGTCGGGTAGGTATTTCACAAAAGCACCCATCATACCAGCCGTCGCGTCTCGTTGCCACTTGCGGTCATCGCCTCCTCCATCCGTTAAGGACACCTTGCCGTCGCGAATCAGAACACCCAGCACCGCATTGTCAAATCCAAGTGTTTCGCGCGCCCGTTCGCGAATCGTCTGAGGTTTCACACCCCAGAAGGGAAGGAGGGAGTGATAGACGGAGTCAAAATCATCGATGAGCTGCACATTTCTTGACTGGGCAAATTCGAACCACTTATCGAAATGTGGCGGCGGGTGCATATTATAGCGGCGCTGGTATTCACTCACGGCCTCGGCCAGGGTCTTTGATTGCTGCGACTGCTCATGATTGAAATCCCGTTGAGCATTTCCAATCAGACGTGTGATCGGGTGTTCCTTCTCAGGGAGGTATGTGTTCTGCCCCGCATGGAGTTGAGGGTGTTGTATCGGTTCGGGAGGAGGCAATTCTATTGTCTGTTGCTCTGGCTGCGAGGATCGTAATAGTAAGATAGAAAGACAAGCAAGAACGCCGATCGCAAGTAATACGATCAACCGTTGGATGCGCATGCTGCCATTGGGGAGAGGCATGAAGAAGGAGTGTGAGTCTTAAGGAGGGTTCTCCATAAGTCTAGAGTTCCAGAGTTCCAAGACCTCGGGCTATTAACCTTATCCGCCAAGCCTTTCTAACGTAATCGCAATCTAGGGCTACAGGTACATAGTAACGTTGTATTGTGACAAGGGTTTAAAAGGCAAAGGCTATAATATTATATAATATCGTTTTATTTGTGCGGCCCCCAATTCTTAAAGGGGTCAATGTACTATGTGGCGTTGCCTAGATCCAGGGGAGGCCATAATCTATTCAATACGTGTCAAAAGCGCTTGGACTACAACATATATTGATGTACTCTCCCTATTCTGTACAGAGCATCAAGGATATGTATCGTTCAAATATTGGTTGATAGATATTTCGAATACTTGAAGCAGTAATCTGATCCCCCTCAAATATCTATCAAAAGAGTACACAGTTCATTTAGCTATACAATTATTCCGTACCCCTTGAGCTTCCATCATCAAGGGGGAGAAAAGGGGTTTAATTTAGTACACTCTACGGAGTATGTAGATCAATGTTCTCTCAGGAAACAAGATCTGAACAAGTATAAAACAAAATCTATCACAAATTACTGGTTGATTGGCCCTACATAGGAAGTAATTCAGGCATTGGAATATGTTATTTCATTTTCCATGGATGGATGAATGAGGTTCATGCTACATACATAAGCTAATATATGACATCCCTAGAGACAATATCAAGATGCTGATCAAAGAAATAGAAATTTGAAAGGACCATTAGACATGGCTGTACAGATGCCATGTTATATTTACCCAACCTACACTAACGCAGCAACCAAGAGCATACCCAATTGAGCACAGAAGCTGCTAAAGTCTGCAGCATGTACTTCTGTGCCTGCTTAACATGAGAGTAGGCCGCGACGCACAACAATACCACCAAAGACACATGACCAAAGTAAAAAATCTTCCTGCGTTCTTGAATGGTGCCCTGAACAAGCCAACTCTGGAGTCCCTTCTGGGAAGCAGGCCGCACGAAGAGAACGAGCAGCACGGCCGAGAATATCGCGGCCATCCCACATTGAACATCCAAATCTTGGACTCGCTTGAAGAGCAATATACCAAATTCAGGATGACTGGATTGCACGAAGAACAGTGTATACAGCGCGGCATGAGCCAGCAGGAGAGAGACAACCACCCGACCAAAGAGACGGTGGTACGGTGTCAACGCTCGCTGAGGGATACCGGTAAGAACAGACAGCACAGATGAGGCTGCCGGTTGAGAGATGTTTGCCGGAGACATCAGAACCTGCAGTGGCAGTTGGGACAGGCCAACCTGGCCCAAAGCTTTGGTCAAATGGAGGTAGTCTAGCATGTTAGCTGGTTCCTCAAAGCTACCGGGAGATGAAGACATACCATCACCACTGTTCCATATCGAAAGGCCTAAAAGCCATAATAGCCACAGCCCGCAGACAAGATACCGTCGGGGGTTTCCAGAAACCGGGCCATCCCGCTTAACGGTTGATCTTGTAGCAAAGCGAAAAATCCGAATGGCGACGATGACAATAATAACTGACCATTGTGCGTAATAGCCTCGAAGATCAAGCAGCTCCCTGCGATGCAGCTTGTCGCTTTCGGAGAGAGAAATAAAATGGTACGGCCACGACATGGCGATTGAAGAATAATATAGTGAGGGTTTCTGTAGAATCCCAACCCAATTGACAAGCACGTTAGATGCAGCGCGAGTTAAAAAAACATGCTTAGACTGTTATTGGGTTCACACTCTTTTTGATATACTGAAATAAGCAGTCTAACCGTGGCTTGTGCCCTATATGCCCCCGGCTCCGGAGGCCCCGTGGCTTTTTGCTGACAAATGAATCGCAAATGCCGGGTACTATGAATATCGTAGACACATTACGTGGGTTTACATGCAAAGTCTTCAGTTGCGCATTTGCTTTTGACTACCTACCCTGGCTAAACGTTATGTAAAACCTCTACATTAAAAACGCCTGAAAGAAAAGGACGCTTGGCTATTTTCTAACCTGACAGGATGACTTGTTGGGTATTCGCCGAACAGGTACATAGTTTAAGGAGAGGTCTGCATCTCATCCTGATTGCCACCGGCAGTCGTAGCAAAATAGCGGACATCCACATCGTCATCCTCCTGCAACTTCTCCAGACTAGGCACAACCCTTGATTGAATCAACTCCAGGCTCTGGGGTGATGGCGTGACAGGCACTTCAGACTTCTCCACCTGAACCAAGGTCTTATCGGCCGGCAGGCGACGCAGTGTGGCGATGAGAACGGCGTAGGACTTGGCGACGTTGAAACGAATGTTGGGGATTTCATCCGTCACCAGGCGTTCCAGGATAGGGAGGAGAGAGTTCTCAATGATTTCGAGGTTGACAACGGGAGTGAGAGTCTGATAATTAGTATTGATCGGTGTAGAAAGAGGGGAAACTTACAGAAACGGCAAAGCACGTGGTCATGCGGTAAAGATAGTTAGGGTGTTGACCCATGGCCATCACCTTGGGAATGATAGAAGCTTTTGACCACTCCACGCCAAATACTTCTGTCAGTTTCTTCAAGTTCTCAGTGGCAGCCTCTCGGATGGAGAAGACGGTGTCTCCAAGCCAGCCCATACAAAGATCGCTCAGCTGTTCGTCAAAGAACTCGACTCCAAGTTGACTGGCAAGGAGTGGAATATATTCAATGATAGCGAGGCGAACACGCCATTGCTTATCCTCAGCCAGTTGAACAATGGCTGGAAGAAGAGACTGGGAGAGAAGCTGGATACCAATGACTGTAAAAGGTTAGGAGAGATAAATGAATATAGATCAACGACCGCTTACCTTTGTTGACTTGCTCGAGCTTCGAGATGATATGCAGACGGACGTCGGGGAATTCATCCTTCAGCATCTGGAGGAACATGGGGAGCAGGTGGGCAATAGTCCTGGACGGTCAGTACAGGTTACGGCTAGCAGATACGCAAGATACTTACTCCTCCTTGCCCAGGATAGGCGCGAGCCCGCTGATCTGAGTACCGAGAGAAGCCCGGACGTGCTGAGATGGGTCAGAGACAAGGTCTTCAACGCTGGTCATGATCTCATTGAGGAGAGTGTCGCGATCGATCAAAGTGCAGAAGCCTGATTGTGTCAGTTAGACGTCAACTATACACCATTGGGGGTATCATACCAGGAATTTGGCCAGCAATCGCAGTGCGAACCTCGGCCTCTGTATCTTTGAGGAGCTTGACAAAGGCAGGCACCATGTCGCGGGTGACAACCTCTTCGTGAACAGCTTTGGCAATCTGCATACATTAGTGTCGCCCAACAATTTGAAATTCAGCAGGCAATGTACCTTTTCATATCGATCGGCAACCATGTATCGGACCCTCCAGCTCTTATCCTCAAACAGATTTCGCAGCGATGTCAACAAAACACCGTGGCTGGGTTGCTGTTCTTTGGGAATTTCCTCTGCAATGGCAATAAGAATGTCGACTGTAAGCAGACGGACGCTGTCCTGATCATCGCTTGCCAAGTATTGGAAGAGGGGAATTATTTCATCGATGACGACCTGGCTTTGCATTTCTTTGACAAACTTGGCCAGATTGTTGGCGGCCTGTCGCCGCACCATCGGGGTTTCATCGTGTACCAAAGCTCCAAAATGCTGTCGGAGACTCTGTTGCAACGCCGGAGTGGCCTTCTTGTATGGTGTGGAGTAAAGACCAGTCGCAGAAACCTTCGAGGTGAACCAGTCTGCCTTTGACAAGCGGAGGACTAGCGGGACAAAATGCTCCTCAACTTGGCTCTCCGAGAGCTGCTCGCATACCTTGTTGAGAGATTCAACGGCCTGGAACGTCAGCATGTGCCTCGGAAACTTTCAGCTGGTGTAGTACCTTCTCCCGCACCAAAGGCTCTTCGATAGCCGCCAAATTCTCCAGCGGGGAGAGCAACACGTGCCCGTATTCCGGACCCCCAACATATTCTGTAAAATTGCCCAGCTCTTCACTCAGCGCAGTCAGAACTTCGTCTTCGTCCTCGACGGAATCTATCACTGTTAGACGGGGGTGCTAGGCGATTGAAGGCTGGACAAACCATCAAGAAATGGGATGAGCTCCTCCCGGGTTCGGTCGGGCCCAAGTGCAAGCGCGATCGTGGATAGACGGTGAATGGCATTGAGTCTGAGAAGGACATCGTCGTGCTAAAGAAATGTGAGCTCAATATTGTCTGCATGACCGGAGGGAGATATACCTTCAGCTCGTCAATGAGCACGGCGATGGGGTAAAGCTCATCGTTCTCGTTCTGGCCCTCCATTGTGAATTTGAATATGTATTAAGGAGGTGCGACGAGTCCCGGTCCTGAGAGGGAAGAGGGTGGTGTTGGACCTGACAGCGATTCGGTAGAGGAGGTGTAGGAGGCAATGAGATGGCTGATAAGGATTAGTTCCGACTTCGCGAGATGGCAAGGGGAATGGATGGTGGTAGAGTGAGGGTGGGGTTTTGGGCCGCATGAACACCTTCAGCAGAAGCGTACCTCGACAATTGAAGAGAAACTTGATCAACAGAAAATTAATAGATTTGATACAAGTTCGTAAAGAGAACAGAAAAGTGCCCCCTTCGATGATGCAGCAACCGGAGCAGGGCAGTCGAGCTTTGAGTGTTTACAAGTGTAAATTACATACTGGCGGTGTGCACATGAATCTTTGAATATGGAGGGGAATTACCTTACCAATACAATTGTCACAAAAGAGGGGGATCTGTGGCGGTGGTGGCTTGCGGGCAGAATTTCCACCAGCACAAGAGTCATCCAAGACTTTGTGCACCGATCACTACTTCCTGAATTTCCGTACGGGCTTTTCCTATATTCTGTCGGAGTCGCCTACTTGGGTTTCACTCTGGTTTATCGGACATTTCGCTGATTGACACCAGAATTCGCAACCCCCACCATGCCTACCATCTCGGTCGACAAGGCCGCTCTTTTCAAAGAGTTGGGCCGAGAGTACGTCTCCGAATTTTGTCATTGAATTGTACTGACCTTGCTGCAGGTATACTACGGAGGAGTTTGATGAGTTGTGTTTCGAATTTGGTGGGTTGGCTAGGAAATCTTTGCGGGGCATGACTGACTCTGAATAGGAATTGAGCTTGACGAAGATGTACATCCTCCGAAACCCGATTATAACCAATGCTGATCTTTTCAGACCACAAACTCGGACCGCCCTATCGTCGATGGAAAGCAAGAAGCCCCGCAACTCAAGATCGAGATCCCCGCCAACCGGTACGCGTGATATCTGAACAGAAGAAATGAAGAACTCAGACTAAGAAGATATTAGATATGACTTGCTGTGCTTCGAGGGCATTGCGCTCATGCTGAACATCTTCCTGGGCCGGAATCCCCTGCCCGAGTACAAGTTGACTCAGCCGGCACAGATGGAGCAGATTATTGTCAAGGAAGATGTCAGTACTTCAACACTTACTTGCTTAGGTCGAGGGGCTCCGCTGACCAAAATAGACCACGAAAATTAGACCCTACGTGGCTGGTGCAATTCTACGGAATATCAAGTTTGACCAGGCTCGTTATGAGTCCTTCATTGCCCTCCAAGACAAGCTCCACCAGAACTTGGCCCGGCAACGAACTCTGGTATCAATCGGTACCCACGATTTGGATACTGTGAAGGGTCCCTTCACTTATGAGGCTCTTCCTCCCAAGGATATCAAGTTCACCCCATTGAACCAGACTCAGGAGATGGATGGCGAGGAATTGATGAACTTCTACGAGAAGCACCAACAGTTGGGCAAGTACCTGCACATCATTCGTGATTCTCCAGTCTATCCCGTCATTTACGACTCCAACCGGACTGTCTGCTCTCTGCCACCTATTATCAACGGTGATCACTCCAAGATCAGCCCGAACACCACCAATGTTTTGATTGAGATCACAGCGCTCGATAAGACAAAGCTGGACATTGTGAACAAGATGATGGTCACCATGTTCTCCCAATATACCTTGGAGCCGTTCACCATCGAGCCTGTCCAGATTGTGTCTGAGCACAACAACGAGACTCGTGTCACCCCCGACCTCGCTCCCCGCACTGCTGAGGCTGAAGTCTCGTACATCAACCAGTGCTGTGGCTTGAGCCTCAGCCCCACTGAGATCTGTACTCTTCTCACAAAGATGGCCTTCCGCGCCAAGCCTTCGACCACTTCTTCAGACATCATCAACGTCGAAATTCCCCCCACCCGTGCCGATGTTCTCCACCAGTGTGATATCATGGAGGATGTGGCCATTGCCTACGGCTTCAACTCGCTTCCCCGTGCATTCCCCGACATGTCCGGAACAGTCGCTCAACCTCTCCCCATCAACAAGCTTTCTGACATTGTTCGTGTGGAGACTGCTATGGCCGGTTGGTCAGAGGTGTTGCCGTTGATTCTGTGCTCGCATGATGAGAACTTTGGTTGGTTGAACCGCAAGGATGACGGAAACACCGCCGTCAAGCTGGCCAATCCCAAGACCCTTGAGTTCCAGGTCGTCCGCACCAGCCTCCTCCCAGGTCTGCTCAAGACCATCCGTGAGAACAAGCACCACTCTGTTCCCATGAAGATCTTCGAGGTTAGCGATGTTGCATTCAAGGACCTGGCTCTGGAGCGCAAGAGCCGCAACGAGAGACACTACGCTGCTGCCTTTTACGGTAAGACTAGTGGATTCGAGATTGTCCACGGTCTTCTTGATCGTATCATGGCCATGCTTAAGACCAACTTCCTCGCCGAGGGCGAGACTCCCACGGGCGACTCCCAGTACTTTATCAAGGAACTAGACGGTGTGTACCCCCTCGAACCCGACTAAACGATTTGCTAACAGTGTAGATCCCACCTACTTCCCCGGCCATGCTGCTTCCATCCACCTCCGTATTGGCGGCAAGGAACAGGTCATTGGTTCCTTCGGTATTCTGCACCCTACTGTGCTGGAGAAGTACGAGTTGAAGTACCCAGTCAGCACTCTGGAGCTGAATGTTGAGGCTTTCATGTAGAGCAAACAGGCCAACAGATGAGTGGCTGTCCTTCTGATTAGAGTTATGACCAAAAGCAAAAAAAAGTACATATATCTAAGAAGATCCTAGTAAATGACATATCAGAAAGGGGCTTGCCTTTGCCGATCACCCTGCAGAATGTCTCCAAATATGGAGTATGTACAATTTGACCGAAAAGAATATGTAATTGATCGTAAAAGTACAAATGGGGGTATCTGAAACGAACAGTCTGAGCTACCAAAAGAGAGTTTCCAAGCCTTATGGGCGTAGCTCCGGGAGAGGTAGGTAATGTACAGGTGAAAATCCCCATGATGTAGCGCTAATGATAAAGGGTATCGACAAGACTACTTCTGTCCATCGTCGAGCCGCTGACCGCGGAACGAATAATAGTTGGTTTGCTTGATGTGTCTGGCCTTGCCAGTTCGTTCATCATAAATCCCAAATCCATGGACTGCGGCATTGGGTGGTGTGTAAACTGATCGATTAGCCTTGGCTCTATTCACTTTCGCGAAAGATAACATACGATGGAGTGAGATGGCAAAGTTGTTCTGGTCTGGATTGGATATCCGATGCAGACCAAGCTTGTCAGACATGTAAGTGACCTGGTTTTCGCCGTAGGTTGTCTGCTTAGTGAGCTGTGGTGGTGAAATTTGGCCATTCTCGATCTGCTCTTGGTCGGGCCATGAGTACAGATCTTCTTGCAGTTTGCCTTTCAGGACCTATTCCAAATAAGCTTCCATCTATCTGTCAAGTCAGAGAGGATGTACCTTCATCACGCAGTGTGCGTTGGCATGGTCATGAATTGTACTCCCTTTCCCAGGGCTCCATACAAGAATCAGCTGGACGAGTCAGTCAAGTAATCGTTGATGGGTGACAATTGCCTTACCAGATTACTCTTGCCATTTCCCTCATCAATCAGATTCCTTGTGTATGTCCTACTCGCATCTCCCAGCGCGTATGAAGCCCATTCATCCGAATTCGAGATATATTTCTCCATCAATAGTTGTATCTCCATGGGATCGACATCGCTAGAATCGAGACCCGAGCTTGGACCTAGCACAGAACTAAGATCCTCCACAAGCTTCTCAAAGCCAGGTTTCTTGGGTGTCGATTCAGACCCGTCGAGGAATGGCATGATGAATGAGCGTTGTACTGGGCACGTTTGGGATGGAGTGTATGTATGTAACGGGGAGGAAGGGGTATCGGAAGTTGACCGAATGGCGAAATCGAGGGTGTATCCACCACAACGGAAATGTAAACTAGGATAGGAGATCGCACAATGCGTGTATTTTCTTATGAGGTTGAAGACCCAAGTATAGTAATTCAATGTTCACGAGTATGTAGTCGCCCGTTGCCGTGCAATTTGGCTACGATAGCGATAAGAAATGATGCCTCAGGCGGAAAATGACATAATTGCCCTCGTCGCCTTAGGCGCACACCCCGCCCTGACTAAAAACTGCGGTGCCACAATTCAAAGATTGTCGCCGCAAGTTGCAGTTTCTCCTTCAAAAGTTGTCGCTCAACTCGCTGGTTCTTAGCGAGGGACATATATTAAGTCCCATTATACCAGCGATTTTCAATCGTTCTTTCTATTGATTTTTTGATTGCTTGGTCAAACCGCCAAAATGTCGACCACTATTGAAAAGGTGAGTGCGGTCAAGATTTTTGAGCAATAGCACCAAATAAATTACTAACAATGCTTCTGTACAGATCAAGGAGGTCGAGTCCGAGATGGCTCGAACCCAAAAAAACAAGAACACCTCGTATCATTTGGGTACGCGCACACCGACGACTTTTACCGATGACGTCTTCTAACAACATGCAGGACAACTGAAGGCGAAGCTTGCTAAGCTCAAGCGTGAACTTCTGACCCCAACTGGAGGCGGTGGTGGTGGAGGATGTGAGTATTCCAGACCCGAACATTCTACGAGGTGCTAACTTGAGATTAGCTGGTTTCGATGTTGCGCGTACTGGTGTGGCCAGTGTGTAAGTGACCCGAGAAGATTGCGATGGCATATGCTTACAATTGCAGTGGCTTCATTGGTTTCCCGTCCGTCGGCAAGAGTACACTGATGAATAAATTGACTGGCCAACATTCAGAAGGTTAGATAGGACCTCCTTGACAAACGATTTCTCTAACACCCTCTAGCCGCGGCCTACGAGTTCACAACCCTCACGACTGTCCCCGGTCAAGTGATGTACAATGGTGCCAAGATTCAGATTCTCGATCTTCCGGGTATTATTGAAGGTGCCAAAGACGGCAAAGGTCGTGGTCGACAGGTTATTGCGGTGGCCAAGACCTGCAACCTCATTTTCATCGTCCTTGACGTGAACAAGCCTTTGGTTGACAAGCGAGTCATCGAGAACGAATTGGAGGGCTTTGGCATTCGCATCAATAAGAAGCCTCCCAACATTGTATTCAAGAAGAAGGACAAGGGTGGTATCGCCATCACGAGCACTCAGCCATTGACTCACATCGATAACGAAGTAAGATCGATTTCCCACATGGTCTTGGATGAAGTACTAACAGATACCAGGAAATCAAAGCTGTAATGAGCGAGTATAAGATTTCGTCCGCTGATATCTCCATCCGATGTGATGCCACCATTGACGACCTGATTGATGTCTTGGAAGCCAAGAGCCGCAGCTACATCCCCGTCATTTATGCGCTGAACAAGATCGATGCCATTTCCATCCAAGAGTTGGATTTGCTGTACCGGATTCCAGACGCCTGCCCAATTAGCTCGGAGCACGGATGGAACGTCGACGAGTTGATGGAGATGATGTGGGAGAAGCTCAAGTTGCGCCGAATCTACACTAAACCCAAGGGCAGAGCGCCCGACTATTCGGCACCTGTCGTGCTGCGTTCCTACGCATGCACAGTCGAAAATTTCGTAAGCATTGCCCTCTTCTTTCTAAAAAAAGATTATACTAACGACACAGTGTGACGCTATTCACCGCACAATCAAGGACGATTTCAAGCACGCCATTGTGTATGGTCGCTCAGTGAAGCACCAGCCGCAGCGAGTCGGTCTTTCGCACGAGCTTGGTGATGAAGATATCGGTAAGTCTACCCAAAAAACGAAACATGAATTTCAAAGCTGACCAGCTACAGTGTCGATCGTCAAGCGGTAAAGGATATATGCCAACTCCTTGACCCTCATAGCCCGAAGCGGCGAGATGATCCAAGCGCTGGGGTGGTCTGTGCCAGCCTGTCTTTGCGCCTCCGCGATCTGACAGGTTTCTGGGACATCCGTAAGACGCCACCGGATCCGAGCGTGGTTGGATAGACTCGTTCACGGCAACATAATTAGGGGGAGGATGTCTTGAGTCTACCTTTTGACATTCAAAATCAGCAGTCATGCACAGCACTGCTGATCTTTGGTGCATCTCAAGGTATAGCTTGATTCGATGAACTCGAGTTAGGCTTCAAGAGTTACACAAGCCCAGGGGTACGCACGAGGCGAAAAGCCATGGGTCTTTCTGATATTCTTGGCACCTTTAGTTTGTGGCCCTTGAACCAGTCCATATTGTTATGATTACCCTTTTTTTTTTTGATGATTGAGGTTATTTGTCCATCAGCGTCCGCAAAAGTTCAGATCTCTATGGCATTCTCGTATTGTCTCAGAAATAAAAGCCATTATACACGGTCTCGTTCCCTATGATTTCAATCTGAAAAAGGCAATTTGTGGCTTTTTTCCATATAAGAAAGATCTATCATGTCAGACCAATCAGACCCCCTGGTCAATTCGTATTACTTCAGTGAAAATTAATGCAGCATCATGCGACGCGCTCTGTCCATACGGATTAGTATAGTCCCTATGTACAGATCCGAGGACGCCTGCATGGACAATTTATTTCGATGACATTCCGATTGGCATGTTCCCCTTGCCATTACTTCCCGTCCTGCACAGCATCCTTGCCAGTCATTCTAATGTTTATAAGATTTTCGCCGGTGGCTTAATTTTTTTGTTCGCATTGCTTTTTGTCCCCCATTTTTACTTTTGAGGCTGACGAGTCAGACCACAAAAGGTCTAGGCCTCTCTATGTTTGCGCCGATCACGGCACCTTCTAGCTGTCAGCTCGAAATCTCCGGGAGAAAACGAACTCGATAGCTTCGACGGAAGAGCCGGAAAGGTAATTATGGTGTGCATACTCCGTACTCCATATTCCGGTGCAGAGAAGGGCCGCGACTCAACGCATTGACCTACTGCTAATAGCTTAACGGTGATCATGACGGGGTCGCTTCGAAAGCCACGGCTTTTGGGTAGCCATTTCATGGTTAATAAACCCGGCATTACTAGTCTAGCTTCCGATAGGCTTAAGGGGGGATATTATGACTATGACTAGAGAATGATAGGGGAGAGATCAAAATGGATCTGTCAACTGACTAGCACCTTTTTCCTAGCTTTTTAATCTCTTCTGGCCTGCAACTACTTACCGAAATTTGAGAGGAAATGGAAAAAAAAAAAAGTACACAGATCTGCACATGCACAGGATTGACATGCAAAGCAAAATATTTCAACCAACCAGAAAAAAGCAAAAAGTGAGGCAAGGTACTGGAGATTTGAAGAAAACAAGCGGTGAATGAGAATTGCGAACGTTTATCTGATCAATTCTCATCCACTCGGTACAGATGGTATACTTTGTAGGGAGTACATTATTTACCCAATAGGGGAGTTTCTTCCTCTACCATGAACCTCTGCGGAGACAATTCTAGGTGGAGAATCTCCCGCAAATCGTCGATTTAGTGAAAATGAGAAAGGGGGCTGTTCACGATCTGGTCCGTTCTCAGATGGAAGATCGGCGTACGGAGGGTACGGAGTAAAAGGTATATTGATTTCTTGTATACTTCATCAGGTGACTGTGATGGCACCGATCGCCCGCATACCTTTAACGTACGTTGTACATTTTCCTCTCGTGGAGGATCGGTCATCCCCGTCGCATTGCATTGCATGAGCCATGCTCTTCCCCGGAGTAAGCATTTTTGTGTTTTTTTCTCTCGAGGTACGGGAGCACTATGGTTAGGAGTATTTGTCCATTCATTTTTAACTCTATTAATTCAGCATAATTCAACTTTCCGGAGATACCTCGGACAGAATTAAAATTATAAGTCAATTGGTACCTGAGTAACACCCTTACAGTTGTGTACCCTAACAGGAAATTTCTCCCTAGCCAAGATCAGTCCAAATTGAAAGAAGCAAATATATTTTGATCTTGACCGGGTCTAGACTTGTTCCTGCTCCTTCGAAGTGAAAAGCAAGGCTCCAATGGCGTCAGTCCAGAATCTACCCCGATTTTTTCCTTCTAAACACTTAGCGAGTTAATTTAAAACTGTGCTAAAATTAAAATCTTTTAAATTTCGTCACACATTTCTTTTTTTTCTCCCTGTGATTTAACTGGCGGAAAAGGAAAATAATACAGCAACAAGCATAATGATTGGTACTGCGACTAAATCAGTAAACATACGAATCATACGAATTCCAAGCGCCTTTCCTGCAGTCTAGGTGTTGGGGATGATTTGTCAGATCTAATACCTTTGTTTGTTTTTTTTTTGTTTTTTTGCTTTTTACGTCTTTATATTCCTGGCTTTCGAGAACGAAATCCTTTAATCAAGCAGGCGGGTTTTACACTCGGCTCCCTCGTGGGTTCGAACAAGCGGGGTGTTGGATATTTGGGTAGTATTCAACTAGACCGTGTCTAAAAGAGACCCGTTCTATATATTCTATGTACAATCTGGGGATAGGCCCTACTTTGGTCATACTTTGGCCCTACTTTGATACCCTCCTATCTCATTCCTTATTCTATGTTCTATACATAGTTTTAACTAGTTATATCCTCATCTCTTCCAATTGAACATTTGTTTGAAGGTTCCCGGGCCGGAGGGGACCGTAGTGGGTCGTAGTGGAGAAAGACGAGGGCTGAGCTTCCAAGGTTTAGCGTTCAAAATTATCCCCCTCTTTCCAGATGCCTTTTTATGACTTATGATAGGATAACTGTCCAACTGTTCGGCCCTTGTATTCGCTCGTATCAAGCGCAGGGCAATGGAGACGGTAGATTCGTCCATCCAAAGATCGTCCTTGCTGCTCCTCATTTGCTGGTTTTTAGCCGTGTCATCTCTGGATGTCTGCGGTATGAACTTCTATTAGGATATCTGGTAATGGTTCCTACTCTGTTCAATCTATTTCGTAGGGATTTGCTTTCTCTTCTCTCCTGATTTGTGTTCAGATAACTTCTCTCGGACCCGGTTTCTTCACCTCCACAAGCACCGTGCGAGATACACCCTATGGGAACCGGAATTCGGATATTGAGACTTTGATTCAACGGTTTGCTTTTTGGTCTAAATAACCATATCTCCAATGAAGGCTCTTTCCCACGGGAGGTTGATAGTCTGTCTGCCGCTATCCTCTTCCCGGTCCAGCCTGATCGCCGTCTTCGCCTGTGCATGGGTGTTATGCGGGCTTTAGGTTCAGCGGTTTATCGATCCGCTACCCGGCTCTAAACAAATCAACTAAGAACCTGGGCTACGCTTTGAACGAACTTCCTTCTTCTCTCGCATGATCAACCCTGATTTGACCCTGATTTGACCCTCATTTGACCCTGATTTTTAGGGACTATCAGCCTCGTCAAAGCAAGGTGACCATCCCCGTCAAGGACTATACATCTCATCAAACATTGGTCAAAGGTTCGAAAACACTGAACGGTCACGCTGCCATTTCCCAACCCCCTAGGTTACTTACATTGGACGCTATGTTGGGATCTATATTGCACAGGTTATATTGCCAGTATACAACATACTCGTACCAGTCTACCATCCTGGAAGGTCATACGGGAGAGAAAAAAAAGAAAACCAAAAATTCCCCAAAAATTCCCCAACCAGAATATATACCGCGTTAGCCCTGAGAACGAAGTTTTCCATACCTTTACACTGTAATACGCAAAACGAATTGGGCCTGACGAGATGCAACCCCTGCCGCAATATATCGCGCATTCAACCAACCAAACGTCGTTCCCCCCTCTATTTACAGGGATCATTTTGAATTTTTCAAATTAAAATTGATATATTATTCTTATAATTCTTTTTTAAAATAAAAATTTCGGTTTTTTATGGATTTTTCACTTCGGATGGACTTTTTCACTGTATTAACCAATCATCAATCAGGTCGGCTGGATAACTCCTCGGGGGAAGGTTATCATGGATTTCTCCGGACAGTGGTCTTTCTCGTGCCAGTTGCAATCGAGATTCATAGTCGTTCTGTCAAATCCACGCGATACTGATCGTCCTACTGATTTTCCTTTTAACCCCATTGCCTTACCCGCATGCTCTTCTCTACCTTCTTGCATATTGTATACTTTATACCTTCTACTTTGCACTAGTTTATAGAGCTACCCTCTCGGGACATTACTCTCTGGGTAATTTTATACAGGCCTACAGAAGCAGTGGAACATGCAGCAGCTTTTATTGTCTTATTAGATTGTTTCATTGTTCCCTGGGGTTTCATTTTGTCTCTCTTTCTTTGATTTCCTCTCGAATCGAGCCTATCACGACAAAACCCCCACCAAAGAAAAAAAGCCCTACCTCCATTGTTTGTGAGATCCATTGTCCATGGAGGAGCCCGCCATGGAGACGGAGACTCATCATGTCCCGGAGAGTGAATACCCACATTCGCCATGGGTGGAAATAGGCACATTTACTTCTCCCCAGCACTCGCCTCCCATGCCAGAATATAGTGGGTTTGACTACGGTCAATCGCAGCTTATGGCTGTGGACTCGTATGGCATGTCAATACCGCCACCCTATGCCACTATGCCACTACCCATGCCTTCGCATTCTTGGCCCAGCATGCTCACAACACACTCTCCGTTTGCTGCGACTGGGCTAGCTATTTCCACCCCGACCTCCGTATCGCCTTCGACTCCCATGCCTCCAGTGCGAAAGACCTCGACTGGAGGATCTACACCGCGCAGGACACTTACCGACGATGATCGCCGACAAATGTGTATATACCATGAGGAAAACAAGACTGCTAAGCAGACTGACATTGGAGGTAAGCACTATCTCTTTCTCTGTGTTGAAGGGACTAGGCTGACTTCATATACAGCGTTGTTTGGAGTTGAGAGAAGGTATCATTTGC